ATAGATCCCTTTCCCCTGACGTTACTTCTTCTGTCCATAAAAGCACTGCTCAGTTTGGGGTTTTATTTTCCACTTGCACATTTCTTTGGTACCAAATATTAATGATAAAACACAAAAAGATACTTCGAATTACATCTAAGTTGTATACAGTAATCACACTGACATAATTTAAGATCACAAACCAGAGCAGGAACAGAAAAAGACAAAATGCATCATATACTCTACCTGTTTAATTATTTTTTCCACACAACTATAGATTTCATATGCTCCTTCCTCCACACCTCCAACGTGGTCAATAATCTGAAAAAGTAAATGGCAAAGCATGATGCAAATCTGAATCCAACTGAGAACAGTATTTAGGACTTCACACAAAAAGGTTCTGGAACACATTTAAATTCCACTCTGTTGCCTTCCTTATGTAAGATTCATTTTGCCCAAGATCTTTAAGTTGGGCACCTAGTTTCAGCTGTTCTCAACAGTTCTCCCTGTAGAGGCAAAAAAAATGGCAACTGATCTATTTTCAGACAGGAGGAATCTCTCTGGAGGTACACTTCTTTCTCTTCAGTGGTTGCAGAGGCATTCAGATAAATAACTCTGCCATTTAAATGCCTAAACACAGGTTAGAAATTCTATCCTTATAACAAATATATATTTTTTTTAGTGAAGAAAGTAGTTGCTTTTTTTCTCCCCTGCTAATGAAAATTTTGTAACACTCATAAATTACAGCTTCATTGATCTGCTTGCATAATGAGCATCCAGAGCAATGAGTGTAATGCCATTTCTCCTAAAATCTGGGCCTACTAGCACTCAGTGTGGTTAAGAACAATTTTTAAATGCCATACCTTTGCTTTGTTCACGTAAGAAATTTGCTCGATTAACTGTTGCACCGAGACTGAACTGACTCTGTCATCCTCCTTTCTGAGGTAAATTAACCGGGGTTTTTCTTCTGGATTTCTCAAGAAGGCTTCTTCACAGTCCTCCAACAAACAACTAGATTGGAAATCAGCATTCTTGTGCTATATTACACTGCTGTAGTAAACAGTTCAATCAACACAAGCTCCGAGGATGGGTTTCACTGCAAAATCTAATTCAAAAGTCGTATCTATTTACAGCTAAAGGCAAGCAAATACTTCAAAAGAGAATTTAAGAAAAACTCTGAAGCAAGGAAAAGCTAAGGGAAAATTTATGCTAATTGTACCAAAACCATTAAACCTATTTATTAATTTTTATGATTATTGATTTGTAAATTAAAAGTTGATATTCCTGTCATACCATATCCAGAGTGAAAGGTGCATGCCTTGCCTGAAGAGAATATGGTTTCGCATATGATTAATGAGCATCTCTGTCATCAGTTTTCTGAAGAGTCTGCTCTATTCATTTATCTTTATAGGAAAAATCCTTTAGTATTTGTCAGATATAGGACAGTCTCACAATTTATAGCAGTTAGAGGAGAACTACACACCTCCAAACTCAAAAGTACTTTGTATTTGAATATGTGAATGATATCCATACATATCATTCACGTTCTTGTTCCACAGAAGGAACTATATGACTTGGGGTTGCTGACAATAGCAAATGGGATCTCTCAAATATTTTGCTCCATATACAAGCACTACAATTTTCATCAGTTTCTCTAAGAGCAATTCTCTAAATTAATACTATTGGCAGGAACACTCTTTCATTTGTTTTTTTTCCTTGCTTATTTTATCCTTAAACACTTGAGCCCCACATACATAAAACTGGGTTATTTGGCAATAGCAACCCCTCAGAGCCAACATATCCTCAGCAGCTGACATAATCTTCCTAAGAGTATAAATGTATGGCAGCTCTAGTCCAATTCCTCTATAAAAACAAATCATAATCATCTGTGGCACCTGGCTGTTTCCTAAAGCACTTTATTGTTGTAAATCTGCTAGTATCTTAAACTAGCCTTTAATTCTCTGTGGACCAATTTTTTTATTTACAGAAACAGGGTTAATACAAGAGCTCTAATAACACAACAGTATTTGAAATCCCTAGAGTTCAAAACCTACCTCTAAAATTAAATTTAATGCATACTGGTATTTTCAGATTTTTGCATTCATACAGATGTTTTGGAATGATCACTCTGTGATTCTTAATATTATCTTTTCTAGTCCTTTTTTCTCTCTTCTTCAGCAAAAGGACACCCCTCTCTCCTGCAAACATCAAAACTACACTCCACCCAAAATTTTCAAATGTATAACAGTAACACTCCTAACACAATTCTGAAAGTATCCCTAGTTGGATGTTTTTCATTTAGTAAACCATGTTTATTCTTCTAGAAGGTTAGGAAATTACTCACTGAGCAAACAGAACACATTGCATCACTATTTGTCATAAAACATCACGACTTCAGTAAATCAAGCTGTCAAAAGCTAGCGTAAGGTGACAAACAGGAGCGCCATGAAATGAGTCCCAAAGCAGGAACTTATAGGTGATAGAATAAACCCAAAATACTACAGACAGGTGTAAGGCTAGATAAGCAAATGAAAACCACTGAGGACATTTGCACCAGCAGTCTTGAATTCCTAAGACACAGTCATATGCACAACAGAGAGCTGCTCCTGGAAAGCAAAACATTTCTCTATATTATGAAGACATTTTTCTTTAAGAGAATCTGTAGCTACAAGAAAAAGGAAATGCTAAAAAGCTGATAAATCCTTTCAAGTGTCTGTACTAGCAAACCTAAAGTTTGAAGGAGCATCACTTTGAAGATATTAGCTTAGGAAATGTACTGAGCAAAACATCACATACATTTTAATAAGCTATGCACTCTGCATAAATTACCAGTTTACATTTGTTTTACCAGTCTGGAAAATCCTCACCTTGGCAAAGTTAAATGCAGGAGCAAAATGACTATCGAACTTTTTTCAATTTCCCATTTTCTTACATCCTGAAGAGGCCTTTCATTTTCTGATGAAAAATGAACAACTTGAAAGAAGTACCCCATTGTTTCACAGACTCTTTGAAGTTTTGGAGAGTAGTTCTGTAAGCAAATTTGAATAATAGTGCTTTATTACTAAACGTGCATAGTACTAAAGACCTACTAACCAATTCTCCGTTTCTCTTCTCTAGACAGTTTCTCCCCCTGAAGTCCTTGACAATATTTCACTGGGTTTTTCTAAATCAGACTACATCTACTAAAACTTTCAAGAAATACTAGACCAATTTCTGAATCAGTATCACATTGGAAACAAAACAGCATAAAAGTGAGCAGAAGTTTATGAGGTACTCACTCTAATAAGGATGTTCACTTCTGGTTGAGTCTCATCAGTACTAATAATGTAACATCTTACTGTGTTACTCCATAGAGAATGGGAAAACAGAGGAGTAACCTGTAATAAACTGGCAACAGCAGCATCCCAATCATCTGTCAATGAAAAAAAAAAAAACCAAAATGAAATCTAGAGGTCTTCACATCTCATTGAATTGCATAAAAGACAAGTCATCATCTGTTAATAATATGAATACTACATTTTATCTAAAACAGTTGTAACATTTCAGTCAATTATTTAAACTTCATAATTTTTAGAGAACCCATATAATCTGATAATGTCATACAATTTGATAATGTGGCAAAACAAGAGTGTTAAATATATTTACGTTATCATTACAATATTTCCTTTAAAAAGAATTGATGACATGTTTCCACAAAATCAAACTGATAGCTGTAAAGTAAGTAATAATATGCTGGAGTAATAAATTCACTCATAACCAAACATTTTTTTTCCTCCAGATCTACATGCATTTCAATTATACCATGAGAATAAATGATAGGAAAACGCTATGGGAACTTCCTTTTCTAGAGAAAAAGTGCATTGCTTTCTATGGCAGTATATGTTTATTCCCTATAGAAGCAATGACTTTTATAACCTTCCTTGTTTTGTGCCTGGCCATTCTTTCAAGACAGGAATAGGTTCTCCTTTCAGTACCACAAGGTACTGTCCACCACAGGGCAGACCATCCCCTCCCACTTTGCAGGTACAGACTTCTGAATCAGAGCCTAAAGGATTGAAGAAAAAAGGGAGAACCAGCCAGTGAAGTCAACTATATGCAGGAGAGGCTGAAGAGCCAGGAAAACACTGAAGGAAAACAAAGTACCGGAAGCCAATTTTTACAAGAGATGCTTGGGAAAGTTCAAAAGCAACAATTATTGACAAGAAAGTATCTAGCACTGATTTACATAAAAAACCATACATCCTGGTCTTGCAATTAGATTTCCATAAATGGCCCCCTAGGCAGAGTCAAACCCCATGGAAATCCAATGAAAAAAACAATACAAATGTCACATTAATACTCAGAAAGTATAGAATCTGAATACAAACAGAAAATAAAACACCAGCAGATACTGCAAGAAAGGTCACCATCTTCCCTCGTCAGCTTAAGCAACAAAATGGTACTTGGTTTACTCACAATAAAGCACCAGTCACTGACGTTTGCCAAAATCACTGCTGCACATACCATAATCACCATATATATATTAAACTTAGGCCATACAGCTACATTTCCTTTTATTTTCACAAGGCAGATTTCCAAACAACCCTTCAGCCAAATTACCCAAGAACGGACAGAAAGGCAGCTAAGAAAGAACAGAATTACTTAAGATGCATAGAAAAATTACGTAGACCACTATAATCCCAGCAAAACAAACTATCATTACTTACCTCTGTTTATATTTGCAAATGGTCCCTCCACATCTATGGAGCTATGGGCAAATTCAGGCCCTCTGAAAGACTGCTGAAGTTGCATCATACTACCCATGGATGGCTCACTTCCCAACGCTCCTCCATTCCAGTATTCAGATTGTGCCCCAGTAGCTAAGAATTGGAAAACAAAAAAACCACCTCTCTTCATTGTCACTAAACAAGGTAAATTATCAGTCCATAATAGTCCAGCTGAAACCTACAGCCACATGCCAGTGACTAATTTTTTTCTCCTTCAGCAGATTTGCTCCCACCTTTGTGTTCTGTGGTTCTAAATGGGCGCTTGTCCAAAGGTAATGCAAATCCATGATGCTAAAGGATGAGGTTAGTTGCTAATATTTGCTATGACACAGATTGCTCACATCTGTTGGTTCAAATACTGGCTTGCATTACAAATCAGGAAAACAGTTCACAGTATTGCTGCGTTCATTTGTGCCCACAACAAAACTTTTGTTCAGGAATTGTTCCAGCACTGAAAAAGCATAAAGGGGCAGTAGGTCAGGACTGAAATTTGGGCTGTCTGAGAGAGCTTTGACAGCATCTCTTCATAAGATTGTTTGGATTACACTTCTGCCCACCAATATACAACATTCAAGACACTAAATAAATCTTCCATGGAGAAAATCAGGAAATTGAAAAAGACTTAAAAAGAGGTAAGAAGTGAAGTATGAACTGAAAAGTTATTTTAATACAAAAGGAGAAAGAAAAAATATATAAAGGAAAACTCCTTGCTATAGCATTAAAGTTCATCAAATCATAGAATCATAGAATGGGTTACGTTGGAAGGGACCTTAAAGATCATCTAGTTCCAATTCCCCCCTGCTGTGGGCAGGGACACCTGTCACTAGACCAGGTTGCTCAGTACCAGACCCAGCAGGTCATCAAAAACTTCCAGGGTTGGGGCATCCACAGTTTCTTTGGGCAACCTGTTCCAGTGTTTCACCAACCTTAGAGTAAAGAATTTCTTCCCAATATCTAATTTAAACCTACTCTCTTTCAGTTTGATGCCTTTCTACCTTGTGCTGTCACTGCTCTTGTAAGGAGTCTCTCTCCATTTCTCTTGGAGGCTTCCTTCAGGTACTGGAAGGCTGCAATTATGTCACCCCTAAGCCTTCTCTTCTGCAGGCTCAACAAACCCAATTCTCTCAGCCTTTCCTCATAGGAGAGGTGCTCCACCACTCTGATCACCTCGGTGGTTCCCTCTGGTCTTGCTCCAACAGGTCCATGTCCTCCTTGTGCTGGAGATCCCAGAGCTGGATGCAGCACTCCAGGTGGGGTCTCACCAGAGTGGAGGAGCAGAATCACCCCCCTTGACCTGCTGGCCACACTGCTTTTGATGCAATCCATGATACTGCACAGTAACTATGCAAAAAAACATCACTGTATTTTGAAACATTTCCACTTCTAAATAATCCTGCCAAGAAGTGATGGTTGACATATCTCAATAAGCAAAATAAAGGTTAAGCAACAGCATTTGCACACAGCTTTTCCTCAGTAACCCTTTACAGTGCAAGAAGTAATGGCCATCTGAGGAGTGTTAAGTCTGCTACAATTACTGCTCTATTCTGAATCAAAGTCAGTGGGCTGATCACACACCCATCTGAACCCTTCCCATGTTATCAAATACTTCATATAACATAAACAAGATTTGGTATATACTTCTTCTTTGTAAATATCTAACTCTGGTACTCTGAAAAGTACAGCAGCTGAGCCTGGCAAAAGTCATCATCCAAAGTGTCTAAGGCTCCCTCTAGTTTCAGGTGTGATTTTTGGATCCTTTGGAGCATGATCTCTCAGATCTAGGATCAGAAAACTAAGAAAAGACTAGAAAACTCAAAATTGTTCATGGAACAATTTTTAAAAAACATTCAAGTTGCTGTGTCGAGACAGTAGTGGGTCTTCATCATCTCTCCATTTATAAGACCAGAAATGTGGGGTTCCCACAATCTAAAACAGTTTTGTAAAGTTCATTGCTTTTATCCTTTAAACTACTTTAAGTTGCTTTTCATCTGGATTAATGCAACTTTTTTTCAAAAGAACATAAATATTTGTCTTGTGCTTTACTGAGACTTCAGTCATGTTCCAACATAAAACACTGGGGATAAAATTCTCACCTGTAACATCTGTACAATTATCATCAGAATCAGACTCTTCAGGATCAAACACTTGGATTCCTTGGGCCTGGAGCCTCTGGAGTTTTGCTTCTAGCTCTCGTTTGGCCCTCAGTAAGTCCTGAATCTCATTTTCTTTAGTTTCTCTAAAAATCTACAAGCAGGAAATAATAAAAAAAGAAATTTAAAATTCAGTATCAGTCCCTGAACTCAAATTATGTACTTTGAATTGGAAAAATAAGTTTCTAGCATTCATTTAGCAGGTAAAAGCATGAAAATGTGAACACAGTGCCATCAGTAGTCTATAAATGAGCAGGAAAACATGAAATTATCTATTTTTAAAATTTTATCATTTTAAACCTTAGCATACCATTCTGAAAGTTAGAAGCCTTCATTATTATGTTCGTTAAAAATGGCAAATAACTCTCTTCACTTTTTAAAGTTTATTGTCCTCTAAAATCACTACATGTAATACTTTTTTTCAAAGGTTCCCTTTTATTCTTCTATGTAATTTTCTCCAATTACATATAAATTCGTATTTAGTTTTTATTGGTGCAGAAATTTAGATTTCCTATGAAAGAAAGTAATCGAGCATCTCCAGATGTCATGTTTGTAAAATATTAGTGTCATGTGGGGAAGAAAACACAAACCTAGACTTAAATTTAATGAAATTAAATATGTCTCAAGTTTCATTTTCTTAAATAAGGTCAAAACCACCCCTCTTTTTATATATCTGCCAAACATTTACACCAGTTACAATTAAGGATAAGAAGAATCTTGAAAACAGTATAAAAGTAGGACCTACTGCCATGTTTTGGGTGGTAGAAGTGTCATCTGCAGCAAAGGAACAGCAAAAGTATCGGGCCTTTCAAGTCATCCCTCCAGAAAGTTCAAATTGTCTTTAACTGGCTGTCATATTTTAACAGCCAAAATAGATGCACCAATACACACTTTAATGTAAGCTGAAGTTGCTAAACCTTACAATGGAATATATAAAATTTATTCAGAAATGATAGAACTCCGTGTTTATACATTCCTTCAGCATATGTCAGTTTGCAGCCCATGTTTTCTTGTGACTCCCAAAAATTAAAATACTCCCGTGTTCAAATAACACAAGAATTTAGTTTAATGTGCATCACTGCAAATTCTCCTTTTAATATTTAAAAATTTATTTTCTATTTTTTCTCCTCATAGTTTTAGAGAGGCTTTGGCAGGATTATCTTAAACAGAAATAGGCTATGACATTTCAAGGTTTTTTTAAGAAGGAGAGGTCCTCGTGAAAGCTACTGGAGAAGTGTTTGGGTAACATGAACAAGTGACATCTTTTTTTTTTTTTTTTTTTTTTTTTTTTTTTTTTTTTTTTTTTTTTTTTTTTTTTTTTTTTTTTTTTTGGGTCACTTTCCCTCAAAAAGAAAAGTCAAGACATACCTTGAATTGCCTTTTGACCTTGTCTCGATCATGTTCAAAAGTAGCAGCTCTCTCCATTGCTTGGTATTTAGCTTCTAAGGCACTTTCCTTCTCCCTAAGTATTTTCTGGTAAGTTTTCTGAAGGGCCTGGAAACATTTAATATACCATTTTTTTTCTGAGTTTTATCACCAATAAAAGGGTTTAGATTACTGTTCAGGTCTGACTACAATGTTATCCCAGCACCCTACACTTGCAGGGCACACAAAATCATAGAATATTTTGAGTTGGAAAGGACCCACAAGGATCCCACAAAGATCGAGTCCATCTCCTGGCCCTGCACAGGTCGCCGCAAGAACCACACCACGCGTCTGAGCATTATCCAATCGCATCTTGAACTCTGGCAGGCTTGGTACTGTGACCACTTCCCTGGGGAGCCTGTTCCAGTGCCCAGCCACTCTCTGGGGGAAGAACCCTTTTTTAATATCCAACCTAAACCTCCCCTGACACAACTTCAGGCCATTCCCACGGGTTCTATCGCTGGTCACCATAGCGACAGCAAGGCGCGGTCCCCGCTCCCAGACGCGCATCTTGACGGCATCCCTATGGCTCACCAGGATAGCACTGGGGCTCGCAACATTCCCTTAGCACCTTGCCTTCCCTCGCACCCGCCACCTCCCTGACACAGCTTTCCCGGGAAGCGGAACGAGCCCTCCGCATCCCCAGCTTTGCTGCTCAGTCCCCGCAGCCGAGGGGCAGCGGGCGCTACCTGCAGCTCGGCGCGCAGCCGCTTGTTCTCCCTGTCCAGCTTGGCCTCCTTCTTCACCATGGAGGCCACCTCGTTGTTCTTGCTGACGCGGAAGATCTCGTACTCCTTCCTCAGGCGCTCGTACTCGGCCACGCACTCCAGCTCCTGCACCGAGGCCGTGGACTTGAAGCTGGCGCCGATGAGCCCGCCGGGCCGGGAGCCGCCGACGCGCCTCAGGGACCCGCGCAGCAGCCGCGCCTTGGGCTTCACCTCCACCGGGATCTCGCAGGCCTCGCCGCCGCCGTACGTGTCCTCGATCACCTCCCCGACCGCGCCCGCCGGGCTCACCAGGGACGACGCCGTCCCCATGGCCCCGCTCCCGCCGCCGGGCGCGGCTCTAACCCCGGGCCGTGGGACCGGAGCCTCCGGCGGGACCTGGCGGCGGGGACGTGCCCGGGGCGGAGCGCTGCCGGCTTCGGGACATGGTCCGCTCCGTGCGCCGGCCGGACGGGGAAGGGAGACCGGGAGGAAGCGGCCCGGCGGGCCGCCTCTCTCCCTCCTTCCCTCCCTCTCCCGCTCCCGCCCCGTCCCACGGCAGCTCCCTGCTGGGGAACGCTGCTGGAGCAGCCCGGGAGGGGGAGCGCGAGCCGCCCCTCCAGGCCGGGGAAAAGCGGAGGGGCTGGCGGCGGGAATCCGCTCCTTTCAGGAAAAGGTTTGAGGTGTTTTGCTGTTGAAAACGAGAAAATGTGAGGTCCCGGCAAACTTTCCCGCTGGAACCATCTCAGCCTCGCCGGAGATGCTGCAGCCCCGCCGGGCGGCGCAGGCAGAAAAACAAACAAACAAACAAACAAACAAACAAACCACAAAAAACAAACACAGTAAGTGTCCGTTTTCTCCTCACCGCGTCTATTTCCCCTCAAGTGTCCCTTTCTCCCTTTCGTTAACCCAGCCCGGAGCCCTCAGTCTGTGCTGCACCGCAGGCTGGTCTACACACCTGTATCACCCGGTTCTCGGCCCAGCAGGGAGGCGCACACAGGTTGTGTCATCAGCTCTTGTATTGTAGAGACCTTGAGGGTGAATTATCTCTCACCACTCAGAAACTGTGACTTTCAGCTGGTACTCACCAAGGAAGACCTGAGTGAGCTGATAGTGGGTCCACCAAGAGGCGAGTGTTAGGTCAAGACACCCTGTCACACCCAAGTCCCGTGCCAGCACCTTGCCCTGCCTCTGGGCCTCGCATGAAACACTCGTGAATTCTCTGAACATCCTCCCTTTCTGGAATACAGCAATTGTGGATTAGCTGCCCCTTGAATTATCCCAATGCCATTTTTCCTCTCTGTCTCTCAAAAAAACCCTGTTTGGTTCCTTCATCCAGCCTAGGGATTTCAGCGGATCAAGATCCCTGTGGCTGAGGAGAATGTCCATTTGTTCCCAAGTATCAGAGGCTGCCCTACCTTTGGCATGAATAACAAAAATGTCACTACCTTAAAATAGATTTTACCTCACTTATTACCAGGGGAATAATTTCCTCTTAACAAAGAAAAAAAAAATCTTACAAATGCCTCTCCAATGAGACATCCCTGAGTTTCAAAATGTGTTGGAGGGGGAAATTACTTTTGTGTACAGTAGGAGAAATTAAAAAAAAAAAAAAAAAAAAAAAGTTGGTTTACTTCCCTGAGTAAAACCTTGGGTTTGGGGAATATGTGCTGTTTGCCCTGATTTTACCCCTTTGTTTTCATGCAGAAAAAATAATTTCTTGTATGAATATCATTTACTGATAAATCACATCTGTGATCTAGTCCACTTAAAACCTGCTTCAGTTAGAAAGACAGATACAGAATATGTGGCAATTGTGGGAGGAGGAAGGATGCTATTATGCTTTCTCTAATATTGACACTAACATGGCCTGCTCAGTATTAGATGATTCAGCAAATAGGCCTGTAACTCTGTAACAAAGCAAAGGCTCTTGGTTTCTTCATTTGCATGTTGGTATCAGGCTGTTTCTCCACTTTACTGCTGTTTGAGCTCTGGGGATAATTAAAAATACATTCATGCTGGTGCTTGAAGTGATTTATTCTCATATTCTGAGCTCGCAAATGTCAAAATCTCCAAGTTGTAAACCTCAGATAAAAACTATAGTATTGTAAGAGCTCCTGAATTCCTTCTAATAATCCACTTGACATTAACAAATAGATTGGAATAACTGAAAATGCTGTTTCTCTAATGATGCCGCTGGGTGCATTATGAAATTTTTATGGTTAGTAAAAACCATATTAACACAACCCTTTCTAAACAGAAAAATTACACTGCTTCCCTGTTGCTTCATGGGTTGGCTTTCCTAATGTTTAGAGATTAGAATAGCTTGCTTCAATGTCTAATTTGCAAACTAACAAAGATTGCTTTAGATCACCGATTAGGACAATTCAGAAAGGAATCCAACTGTTCATTGCACAAATGTTGGAAACAATGTCTCAGAATGTCTGAGGATAAACCTAAAGAGAGAAAGTCTTAACTTTCAGAAATGAATTTTCCCAGAAAATCATTCGCTGAAGAAAACACCATAGCAAGTTCTTTAAAAATTTCTATGTATCATTATGTTAATTTTTTAAGCTTCAGTTAGAGCATTCCAATCCTTCATGCCTTGAAGACATTGACATTGGATGACTTGTGCCATGAAGTTCTTCACCAGTCCGTGAAGACATTTGAGATACTTGAGCAGCTTCATGTTTACCATTTCTATTATTTACTTAATTTAAACAGTTCATTAAAACATTCCATGTGTGAGATATGCTGGATGCAACTAAGCACACACCAGTCACTCATTTACTACTCCAATCCAGTGAGATGGGGAAGAGAATTAGAGGAGCAGAAGTAAGAAAAACTTTTGGGCCGAAATAAAGACAATTACTGGAGGAAAGAGAGAGTGAAGGAAAAAAAAAAAGAAAAAAAGAAGAAGAAGAAAAGAAGTAAGTGGAACAACCAATCAAGAAGTGCTTCAGAGGTAGTCACCACCTCAGACCAGCAGACCAATGTCCAGCTAGTCTCTAGGGAACAGCTTCTTTGCAAAGGTGAGGCCCAAGCTCTATTACTGAGCATCATGTTATATGGCATAGAATATGCCTTTGCCTAATCCAGGTCAGCTGTCCTGGCTGTGTTCCCTCCCAACCTTTTTCACACCAGTCAGTTTTCACACTGGTGGGCAGAGTGAGTAGCAGAGAGGGACTTGAGGCTCTCCACTTCTTGTTAGGACTCTTCTGCAACAGCTAAAACATTGGTGTCTTATCAATTTGTGTCTTTAGTCACAAATCTAAAAGACAGCACCACACTGGCTGCTATGAAGAAAAGTAGATCTATCTCAGCCAGACATGGTACAGAGGTATCTGTCAGATGAGCACTTGCACTTTGTAATGCTTCTTCATCACTTAAGCTGTAACAGACCCAGGCTGCTTTCCATCCCTGAATCCACATAATGAGGAACACAGTACCTTGGTTGGTCCTCTGACAAATTTACTCTTCTATCTACCCCTTCAGCATCAGTATGCAGTCAGTACTCCTAATCCACAATGGAACACCTACTCTGCCAATGTTCTCCTACTACTGAGACTGTGATGGGTTTTTTTTTCAGTGTGTGCATTACTTAGAAGCCCATAGACTTTTGTGCTTTATGGTATAACCAATTTTATGCAAACATTCTGAATACTTTATTTGCTGTTACTTAAAATCTGCTGCCCTACAGTTTAAAAATATTTATATGGAGTCTGCGGGGATATTGCTTTTATTACTATATGATGTATTATTGAAGTTTCTTACTCTTTATTTCTCTATAGATCTAAGGATGTGTCCCACAGAGAAAAGTACAACTGCAAGAATTAGACCTCTGAAAGAAGATTGGGTTTTTAAAATGTATTATTAAGTTCAGCTGCAAGTTAGCAGGTATTAATTTTATAAAATAATATATCTGATATATTATTACCTATGCATTCCAGTAAAATTTGATGTACAAGGTCAGGATACAGCAAGATAAGAGAAAGCTCGCAAAGATTTGAAGATGATAGTTTGCCACAGATTGACTACACAGTAAAAATGGAAGTTGCTATGATTAGAATGAATGTTGATAATGACCTGAAAGCAGAAGATACTTTAAATGAAAGATAAATGACCAAACTTCTTCACAATATCCTTTTTGTTAACTCATATGCTGGTCTGAAACTGCCATATCTTAGCCCTGACCATGAAAATTACTTTATCTTCTCTGCCTTGATGTGAATTCTGCATTTTGTTCATCTACATAGAAGACATCTGCCTCTGTCCTCCTCTGAGACCTTCCTGCTAAGTAAGCATCAGCAGTTCTGTGATTCACCAGACAGTGATTGGTATGTAGGCTTCTTTGACTGATATGTGGGGTGTCTGTGAGGTGATGACTGCTAAATGATGGAGAGTTAGGTGTCTTCTTCCCTTTTCCATGTGACCCAGCATGGCTTTGGCTATATCCATCATTATGACTGGCTTACACCCTGCACACACCTTTCTGTGACCTGACATGAAATTGAGGTGTTGTGAATGTAGGAGACAGAGTAATAAAAAACTGATTGCAGTTCATCATTAGCTCAACAAGTTAGAAACTTACATTCATAAGCAAGACTTTGGCATAAACTTAAATTTTGGAAGCAGGACTGTAAAATTGAAGTCTGAAGAAATGTGCTGAAAATCCCATCAAAAGTCTTAAGATAATTTATTTCTATAGGCACATTTACAAGAGCCTCTGGTACATCTGCTTCTTCTTTTCAGTCTAGGATTAATACAACATACAGGTGGTTAATTGTAAACTGCCGAACAAATTCAACTTTGGAGCATAGTTCTAAGTTCAAATAGCTACTGAACTTGCTGTGTTTCACTCAGTAACTTTATTACAGTGTGTCGAGTTGAAATCATCAGCTTCTTTCAAGAATCCATCTGCTGAGAAGCTTGAAAATTACTTGGAGCAGAGATAATGAAAATCATAATGAAGGAGAGGACATCTGCTTTCAAATGCTCCCATAACTTTATATGGCATAGCCCTTTGCCACTAGAGGACAGCAAGACCTCAGGAAAATGGGGTTGTGAGAGGAGGTGGGAGAAAAGGGGAGAAATCCCTTACACAAGAGTTAAGAAAGCGTTAGTTCAGAAGTTACGTGCTTCTAGCTATAATCAAGCTTCTTAAAGAGTTGAGTCAGTTTGAGAAGATGTTTCAAGACAAAATACAGAGGAGGCACTTAGATAGAAAAGCTGAAGTTTTAATGTAGTGCTTTGTCTATCAGTCATAGATAATGTTATTTGAAAAGTACAATACTAATTAGCTTTGAGAGCTGTATGCTATTTCCATTAAATTAATGTATAGTTTTGTATTGATTTCAGTCAAAATAGGGCTTTGCTTTGCAATCTTACATAACTGGTAGGTCTTCTGATTTTT